TTTGACTCCATTGTATCCTCTTATCTCCTTTGTCAAATATTAATTGAGCGTAATGGCTTGGGTCGATTTCTGGGTTCTCTGATCTGTTCCATTGATCTATATATCTGTTCTTGTGCCAGTACCAGGCTGTTTTGATTACAGTGGCTTTGTAGTATAACTTGAAATCTGGTATTGGATTCCTCCAACTTTGTTTTTTTTTCTTCTCAAATTTGCTGCAGCTACTCGGGGTCTTTTTTGATCCAAAAATAATTTATGGAGTATTTGCTCTAGCTCTGTGAAACATGCCGTTGGTATTTTAATAGGGATTGCATTAAATCTGTAGATTGCCTTGGGTGATATGGACATTTTAATGATGTTGATTCTACCAATCCATGAACACAGTATATTATTCCATTTATATATAGCTTCTTCTATCTCTTTTTTCAACATCCTATATTTTTCCGAGTACAGGTCTTTTGCCTCTTTGGTTAAGTTTATTCCTAAGTATCTTAATTTTTTTTGTTGCAATGGTAAGTGTGATTGTTTGTTTAGTTTCTCTTTCTGAGAATTCATTATTGGTGTATAAAAGAGCCATTATTTTTTGTTTAAATATACTTTTCTGAGAAGAGTTTTTGGCTTACACTTACATATATTTAAAGTTTTGTCATTATAGCAGGGCTACTGAATATTGTACAATATCTCTTTTGTGGTTTGTATATTTGTGTAACGTGTCATAAATTATGTAAAATTTGAGTCTTCTTTATACTTTGCAGATTCCTAAAGTAAATGGTATTTTCCTTTATAGTAAATGGCTTAAATTTGACTAGAAAGTTAAAGTCCTCCATACAACACTAAATGGATTTTTGCTTTTCTAGTCAGCTGGAATTTGCTTGTAAAGATAGTAACATCATTGCCTTTCAGCACCGTTTAAATTCAAAATTGTAGAAGGATGAGGAGGGTTGGAGTTTTTGATTGGTAAAATCAAGAATCCTGGTATCTGATCTTCTGAGTAACTAACTTCTTGTCCTCTGTAGGAGGGGGCAATGGCAGGGTAAAACCAATGGCTTTGTAGTTATTAGATAGTTGAATCCTAGGTTATATAATTAGAAATGCAGTTATTGGGAAATTAAATGAGGTAATATATATAATGCCTATTGTCTTAGTCTGCTTGGGCTGTCATAACAAAATACTATAGACTGGGTGGCTTAAAGAACAGAAATTTATTTTCTCACAGTTCTGTAGGCTGAAAGGCAGATCAGGATACCAGGATGGTCAGGTTCAGGTGAGGGCTTTTCTGACCTGTAGACAGCCACCTTCTCACTGTCTCCTCACCTGGGAGACAGGCAGAGGGAGAGGGAGAGGGAGAGGGGAGGGAGGAAAAGAGAGCACTCTGGTGTCTCTTCTTAAAGGGCACTGATTCTACCATGAGGTGCTCACCCTCATGACTTCATCTAAGCCCAGTTATCTCCCAAAGGCTATCTCCAAATATTATCACAATTGGGAATTAGGGCTTCAGTCCATAGCACCTACCACTAGTGGTCAGTAGATCACAATTCCTATTTGCATTCCTCATCCTCATAACCTCCAATGCTTTCTTGTAACTTCTTGCAGTCCATGGGCAGTGACCGTCATTTGTTCTTCAGAAGGCTACAACCAGTTATTGAATTAGTCTAGTCTTTCCTCACTAATGTAATTTCATATCTGTCATGTATAACATTTTTTATACACTGCCCTTTTGATCACTCGATCTTTGTTTAGCTTTACCTATGACAATATTATACTCTCTTATTTATTACTAGAGGCCCAGTGCATGAAATTCATGCACTTGGGGGGCGGGGGTTGTCCCTCAGCCCAGCCTGTGCCCTTTTGCAGTCCAGGAGCCCTTGGGGGATGTCCAACTGCCGTAGAGGTGGGAGAGGTTCCCGCCACTGCCACTGCACTTGCCAGCTGTGAGCCCGGCTTCTGGATGAGCGCGCATCCCCCGTGGGAGTGCACTGACCACCAGGGAGCAGATCCTGCATTGAGCGTCTGCCCCCTAGTGGCCAGTGCATATCATAGCAACCAGTCGTTCTCCTGTTTGGTCAATTTGCATATTAGCCTTTTATTATATAGGACTAGAGGCCTGGTTGTGCACCAGTGGGGTCCCTCAGTCTGACCTGCGGGGATCGGGCTGAAATCAGCTGTCCGACAATCCCGAGGGGTCCTGGATTGTGCGAGGGTGGTTCTCGGGTGACGCACCCTGGAATTGGGCTCCCTCCTCTTTGGTTCCAGGTGCATCACCCAAGAACGGCAGCTACCAAGTCACCGCAGCTCGGCAGCTCCTGTGTTGAGCATCTGCCCCCTGATGGTCAGTGCATGTCATAGCTACTGGTCAGAGCGTCTCTATATATATAAAAGGCTAATATGCAAAGTGTCCTTACGTGCGTCGAATGGTAGGATGGTTGCT